TCTATATAATTTAAAATCCAACGAGATTAATGAACTTGTTATCATTTTCAGTGTCGAAGACAAATGAAGCAAACAAGCACAAAATTGCCGAGAAATAAACAAAATTATTAAATGTTAGCGATGTACCAGGCATTCTTTTTAGCCACTGCTCCGGGATCTCGTTCGATCGAGTACAAAGACGTTTCCATAACTTACAAGAATCCTTTGCCTTCTTACGCTGAAAGAGTGCTACTGACTTACAATGATGAGGAAGCTCACCTAATAAAGATACTTCTCAGGCAGACAAGGTACCTAGTCATAGCCTCTGATACAGAGCTATCTCAAATTTATTCATCGCAGACGACCCGAGTTGGGCGACAAGTTCTCATCTAGACATGGTCAAAAAGGAGTTTGTGGACTCATTGCAGCGCAGGTATTTATGACCTTACTAATGCGTTTTTGTTGCTTTTGCTATAAGCGTTTTAGGAAGATATGCCTTTCAACGATTTGGGTATGGTGCCAGATATGATCATGAATCCTCATGGATATCCCTCGCGAATGACTGTGGGAAAGCTGATGGAGCTTTTGAGCAGCAAAAATGCGGTTTTGAGTGGTCGCTACCATTACGGAACTGCCTTTGGAGGAGATCAGGTGTGAAAAGCTGCTAATTTTTTTGCTTCGTTCACCAAAGTGTTTTTGTAGGTTATCGATGTTTGCAATGAATTAGCATCTCATGGATACAATTATCTGGGCAAGGATATGTTAACGAGTGGGATCACAGGCCAACAATTATCCGCATATATCTACTTTGGACCGATTTATTACCAAAAATTGAAGCACATGGTGCATGATAAAATGCATGCTAGGGCAAGGGGACCGAGGTAAATCTTGGCTTGTCTGCATTAATCGATGATGTCCTGAAATTGTGGCTAGAAATCATTCCGAAAACTGTCACAAAGTTTGGCCATCATTCTCTAAAATTCTCCATAATGATAACCTTATATTAGGTTGTCCCGAAAGTAATGTCGTTTCAATTTTAA